AGTTATTTTTGGTACACGCACGTATACGTGACTTTTTTCCAAGGTCTGATATATTACATCCGAAACAAAAATTTTTGTGAATAAGAACCATGTTTTTATGTAATTATCTATAGAGTTATCTCCGCTGTTCTTTACTTTTAAAATATCATTATATTATAAAAGGAATAATATATAATATCATATTCTTAACGGAATCCATGATGTTAATGCATATAATATATTAATTTAATATGACAGGTACATTTTGCTGTCTAAAATTATCTGTGAAAATGATTGCGAGACGACGCGATGGTGCTAAAATACGACTTTTTTTTTATCACGCCACTCCAAAGTCAAGAAGGAAATTCGAGATATACCACTCCACTTGAACATAAATTAATCAAGTTATCATCGAATTAAAAGACTTTTATATTTTATTCTTTCACATAAAATATAATTCGCATTTTCTTGAAGCAAATTATATAAATAATATGCAAATAAATAAAAAGAATGCATAAGAAATAATACATATTTATATAAAATTGTTTATTGTAACACTAATTTTAAATTTTTCAACATATGAATTAATTAGAGAAATTATTTTAACAATAATTAAAATGATTTCAATTTTAACAACGTGTTATTAATAATCAATTTCGTTTTTTATAAAATTATATTTTCAAACTCTTCCAAAATTTACTTTGTGTAATCAGCGAAATATCACTTATCATAAAACAAACGTGTAGGTATAAATTCGTGACTGGAAACAAAATTTACACAGAATGGAAGTAGTGCTATTGCGAGATAATCGGAAAACAATCACATCATACATAATTCATCAATATTAAAAAATACATTTGTTTAGTAGAAAGTATTCTTTATTTCGTACGAAATCGATTGACTATCAGTGCTCGACGAAAAACTGCCGGCGATGAGAAGTCACGTGTCTACGTCGGGTTTCCTCGTTTCACTTAAAACTCTCACAAAAAGTGTATCAGCGAATTGCGAATTGCACGTAAATCTTATTTAAAGTCAAACAATTTTACTGCAAAAATAGTAAAGCGTGAGAGGCTTCGAACTCTCGCGATAAAGAAAACACTTTTCTATACACCTAACACGATGATTTTATCTATAGAACAATTAAGAAATGATCAACGCGCGGAAAAAGAAAGACACATTTCAGAATTACTTTTTCATATACAAAGCACGATGATCCGTGAAAACTGAAATACTTGCTAGTCATGATTTAAGCATTTCTAGAATTGCGTACAACACACAATCTCATAAACTCGACGTCTTCTCTCTGAAAAAAAAGTTGATATTGATCTATCAAAGACATGCTTTTCACTCCTTTAAATTCACTCTACTATAAGCACTTCATTGATGAGATATATTAAATATTAAATTGTATTAATATGCATTAGCATCTTGGGACAATGTTGTCCAATATAAAGTCAGTATATCAGTTATAAACAAATTATTTATAAAATATTTTTGATAAATAAATATATTATCAATATTGCATACTGTAATATCAATATTTAATAACATTTAAAATGATGATTGAAATTATTTCGTTTAACATTCTGCATAGCTGTTACCATACACTTTTTTTCTAATGTTATACGTTATATATATATATATTATATATACTGTAAAATTTCAAAAATAAACGCGCATTTATCGATAAAAGGTGTAAGTGAGGTGTAAATTGCTCTGTCTCCGTCTTTCACTCTCGCGGTTGATCAGCCGTTCAAAAATTAATCATAAAATCGGAGCAGCGAGATCAAAATCGAACGTCAACGCGGATCTTACATGCACACGGTGTGCGACGATCTTTTTAAGACCCAGATCGATCGACGGCGCTCTCGATCGGCACGGCGCGGTTCGCAGGCGATTACTGACGTTCACGCCGTCCGCGAACCGGGGAGTCACAAACACACGTCTTAAGAAAAGTCAGGCCGGCTGCACACCGTCGAGTAAACTTGCACGAGTGCAAGGCTTGCGCAAGTTACACTCGAATGAATTTACTCGAATCCCAGTAAAAACGAAGTTACGTATAATGTACCTGCGTTAGTCCCAATTTCCCAATTTAATAAAATATAATTGTAACGTAACATGCATACATTATACCTTGTTGAGTGGGAAATAAACAACTAACCGGTACGTTACATGTAACTTGTGTTCACTGGGATGTGTGTAGCCGGCCTTACTCGGATCCGTAAAGTTATCCGAGAATAGTATCGTGCTCCCTCGTTGCTCCCCCTCGACCGAGGGGTAGGGGGTCGGTCTATATATATACGCACACGTATGTATATCGGGGGAAGCTCTCTCCCCGCGTCCCGACGCCGCCCCGCGACGCCCACTCTCCCCCTTGGGAAACGCAGCGTGTGCGAGAAGGATCGGGTTTAAATTCGTACATACGGAGGAAACAAAACGAAACGAGTTGGTTATCCGCTGGCTGACACTGAAAGGAAAACTTAGACGGTCATTGTTACACGCTACGCACTGTACACGTGATATTTAAGTTCTTTCGTCATTCGGAGGAACCCCGTCTCCCCTATAATAAGATAGTGGTTTTAGCGGTTGCCTCAGAGTTTCCTTTCTGGAGAAACAAGCAGTGCGCTTCAACATCAATTATCAATACAAACTATTACACGACAAACTATTCGTCTGTATTATTTTAATTAATTTATTCAGAATTAAATTAATTTCTCTTGCCAACTTGTTAACACCTGGTGGAAACATCTTATCCTCTTTCAAGACACCACCGAAATGTTTAGAAAACGAAAAGTGACGGAATGATTAATCAAGATAGAAAAAGATTTAGTTTTGAAGCAAGATATCCTTTTGCACTTCCCTTCCTCTCCTCCCAAAACTTTTTTCCGATTTACGTTTAATGTTTTACGATTCTGCATGCCTAGCTATAAAAAGTACAACCTACTAACGAGCGCTTTCCGAAAGGTGGAAAAAGCCGGTATGAGTCTTATGTTAAAAATCACTGCCCATATATGGACCGCTCTCTCAAGCGAGCGCCGCGCGTTCAAAGCAAGTTATTGCTTCTGTCCACCGAAAGAGTTTCTACATATAAAGACGTGGAGACCATACTTGGACGAAAAGTCGATTGCGCATTAAGGCTCTTGCTCTTCCTTTCGCGACGGCCACGAGCGATCGGTAGGCCTTGAATACGGAATACAGTCTCCAATAATGTTCCAGACATGAAGATTATTCGTTCCACCAGAATTCGGAAATTTGATCAGCTGTTTGTATTTTTCAATGATGACTGTTAGCACGATTCATTAAAAATGATGAATTCACCGCCTCAGACTTGAGTATCGTTTTCGATCTAATAATGTTCGATGATATGAAAAAAATACTGTGTAAATCGAACATTCAAAGTAGAAAAATGTATTAAAATCTACAATAAAGCTGCGAGGGGTGCGCTGATATTGAGTATCTTAGTATCAGCGTACCCCTCGTCCTGATGAAGTGAACGGCATGGTTCACGAAACGTTGGCATCAATAATGAAGAAAGACGCGGCGACAAACCTTCTAGTATAATTAAAATAAAAATTGTTAGAAATGTGCAGGAAATTTAAAGTGTAAATAATAAAATTGAAAGAAATATATATCATATATATACATATATATCTCTCAAAATTTTACTAAAAAGATTTAAAAGTAATATTTATTTTAAAAGTATATATAATAGTGAGGCTCCTTACAAATAAAACAATTTAGAAAATAAAAGGACTCAGAGCCAGTTAAGTAAAAGAAACATTTTAATCGCAAATAAAAATGATGGTCTTATATATGTATATACAAATAATATTTCTTACAAATTTAAATTTAAACTCAAACGTTTCGACTCCGATCGGGTCATTCTCAATGTTACAGTAATATTGTAGTTATAATCGCAAAGTGAACTATTAAAATCTATTGTAAACATTTCTTCTTGTCATGTGTCATAAGGTTGTGTGTCAATAAATAAAAATAATCTAATTTACTATTGAATTCTCTCAGTAAAGATACGAATAAAAAAATTTTTAGTTTCTTTTTAAAATTTCTTTTACTTAACTGGCTTTAAGTCCTTTTATTTTCCAAATTGTTATATTTATTTTATTTTTCAATGAATTTAAATTCTAATAAAAAGTAATCTGTACTTATAATTACAAAATTAAAGAAGAATATAAATGTACATATCAGACGTATACATACATACATATATATACATGCAGGAGCAATTCAATAACGCCGCCAGATTCAACTACGTGGAATAATGCAATTATTTGTTCATTGTTTTTAACAGTGTTAAATTAACAGAGTACGTAAAAACAAATTATATAATTGCACAATAAATCAACACATAAATTATAATTAAATAACAATAAGCAAATAAGGATGTCCTACATAGAGTTCATCATTCAAATTAACTGTGAAGAGATAAATCAAGATTAAATCAAAATTTATAAGCCTGCATTCAAGATTACTTCAGAATCCATGTACCTAGATTTGAAAATTAAATATCTTAATAAGCAATTTAATTTACATTTAATTTAAATTACACAAGTATAATGCAACATAATAATACACATTCCGATTCTCATTTTACAGGATTGCGTTTAACAGGATTAAAATATTTCAAAGTTTAACGGGACAAAATATTTCAAGATTCTAGTAACAATTTTACTTCATACATTAGAGAATGGCAGATAGCTACAATCTTCGTATATATGATCTTCGAAATATCAATCCAATATTAATAGAAACGCAATCGAAATGTATATGCTACTATAGATGATAAATTGAAAGCGAGGTTTACGACAAGTTCAACAATGATACGCAATGCGTAGCATTTTAACATATGTTGAATACGTAAAAATCAAATACTATATAAAACAATCGACATATTCGCACGGGATATTCTATTAATTATGAAAAAGTCGTATAAACAATTCCCTTATCCCAAGTTATTTCATGTAAAGTTATTCTTTCTTTACATTAAAAACACAAGTTCCAGTCTTAAAAAAATATAAACCGACATTGTATCGTCGTACTGATACGATTATGATTTTACAGAGATTACCGCTTTTTTTGCCGCCTCATCCAAATTGTTCGCTGTAAGGATAGGCAATCCAGATTCAGACAAAACTTTTTTGGCTTCAGTCACATTAGTACCTAAAAAATAAATCACCAAAAAATAAAGTTATATACAACAAATGAAAATAAGTATACCATAAAATAATAGAATTTATAGATAAATATAATAAGAATTAATAATAAGAATTAAGCTTAAAAAGGAGATAAATAAAAGGAGACAGAGTACTTACCTTCTAGTCTTACAACAAGTGGTATTTTAAGTCGTAAATTTTGCGATGCTGCGATAATTCCTTTCGCTATCGTTACACAATTTACAATACCTCCAAAAACGTTAACGAGAATTACTTTGACTTTTGGATCTGACGAAAAAAAAAAAGAAATCAGTTTATATTTTATGCTTGTATACTTAAATAATCCTATATGTTACGTACCTTCACTGAGAATCCTAAATGCCTGAAAAACTTGGTCTTCTTTCACATTACCGCCAACGTCTAAGAAATTAGCTGGTGATCCTCCATTTAACTTAATAATATCCATTGTAGCCATGGCTAGACCAGCTCCATTTACTACACACGCAAATGTAAAACATTTTTGTTTGTACATTAATTGCTTATACACACACACACACACACAATATGTTAGAATTAACACACGCACATACACATGCGCGCGCATGTTAATTCTAATAACAGTTGTATATATAGGTATAACAACGTACTAACATATGATATTATTTTTTAATTTTCAATTTACTTATTTGTTGAGTAACCGAAAGTAATTGTAAAGATCTGTATAAAAATGCTATTTAATTATAAAGCCTAATTACAAAGTTCTGGGAACTGTGATAGATATTGAGTGTATCAAACTTTTTAACACAAAATGTGAGCAACATATTATAACGCTCATGGCAATCAATGATTAATGTAAACATTAATTAACATTAAATACTTTACCTAAACATCCTATATTACCATCCATGCCAATATAATTTAAATTAAATCGTAACGCGTCCACTTCTCTGGGATCTTTCTCACTGGTGTCTTCTAAGGCAAATAAATCTTGTTGTCTAAATTGGGCATTATCGTCGAATGCAATTTTTGCATCTACTGCTACTACTTGCTTGTCTGTCGTCTCCACTAATGGATTTATTTCAACTTGCAGAGCATCAATATCCACAAATAATTTCCAGAGATTTTTCAATTCATATATGGCTTTTTTTAGAATATCCGTATCAGAAAATCCCAGAAAAACGCACACGTCCTTTGCTATTTCGTCATCAATCCCATGATAAATGTCTAACGTAATAGTTTTAATTTGTTCAGGATGTTTCTCCGCAACTGTCTCAATATCCATGCCACCCGCTGGAGACGCTATCAGCACAGGACCATTATGCTGACGATCCATAAGAATACAAACATAAGTCTCACGTGCAATGTCCACTGACTCAGCTATCATAATTTTCTGTACCAATATGCCATCTTTTGAAGTTTGTTTAGTGATGAGCCGATGACCTAACATATTCTTCACATAATTTATAACAGCATTACGGCTATCGAAAGAGAAAGAAAAAACTAAAATAAATCATAAAAAAACAAAATATTATTTATCATCTCATAAAAAAGATATATAAATTACATATCACCATCTTAATAAAAGAAATAGAACAGAATAAAAAATACTATTATCTCTTATTAATTTTTAAAATGTTTTCTAAAATTAAATAAATATTATATTTGAAGAATAAATTATGATAAAAATTTATCTCTAAGAATGAATAAAATACTCCATTTAAGAAATATTAAAAACAAATAATTAATTAAATTACATCAATACTTACTCTTTAGTAAGATGTACACCTCCCTTAAATCCATTATCAAACCAGCCTTTACCACGACCACCAGTCAAGACTTGAGCCTTGATAACAAACTCATCAGTGTCTGCAAGAAACAGAAAGCTGCAAAATACACATAGTTAAGTCGGCTCCTACGTAAATTATCAAATTACAGATGACTCCTAATAGATGTAAACTTCGTATGGATTACAAGAAAAGGAAAAAGCGTAATATTGTGCATTGCGAGCTCTAACTCAAAATGTGATGAAATGATGTGAAACATTCTGAAACACTCACGCAGCTTCTCCAAGGCAGAATTCGTTTGAGTTAGGTTATCCACGATAGCAAAGTTTTGCACTGATATGCCAGAGTCTCGCAGGAGCTCCTTGCTCTGATATTCCAGTAGATTCAAGTTTCTCGCGTTCGACACGCAAGTGATCCTCACGTTCCTGAGCAGCTGCGCCGAGAGCATTGAGCGGCCGAGTACTTGCAGCATGATTAACCTCCAAAAATGCACAGAACGAGAAAGAAGTCTTGTTCTCGTGAATCACAATCGGAGCGTCGACAATTTAGATAATTAATTTCCTTTAGCGTCCCAGTTATCAACGTCGCAATTAATATCGTTACCTCATTCCTAATGTTTTGACGAGATAATAGCCGGCTATCAAGTTGAACTTGTCTGTCGCGCGTGACCAGGGACCACGCGTTCTAAAATCGATATCTCGTCTTGAATGGCAAAGAAATGGCAAAGGGGAAAAAAAACACCCCACGTGACTACGGGTTGCGCGCTCTGGCTCTGTTGCTTCTTCTTCTTCTTCTACCTTCGCCATACCACATCAAAATGTGTGGCGTCGAGTGGCTCACCGCTCGGTACGAATGACTCGCGATCTGTAGACCCGAGTTCAATCCCACGTGTTGCGCCCAAACGCGAGATTTTTCGCGTTTAATGAGCCAAAAAATGGTGGCTCTACCTGGTGGAATCCCTAATACTACTTGATCTATAATTGTCAACCGACATTTTCGATCTGAAGTTCACCAAGGAAGTTTACGGCAAAAGATGGAAGAATCAAGTTTAATTTAAAAATATCTCTGTTTCGATTACGTTTCAATTCAGAGTCTAATCGGGACTGAGATGTTTATTAATTAAGCTTGATTCCTCCATCTTTTGCCGTAACTTCCCTTGGTGAGCTTTTGTCAATTGTGAAAACAATTGCTGTGACATAAATAACTGTATGCGTAAAAAATATTTTATCTCCACAAATTATATTGCTTAATATTATTAATATTACTATCATTTATTTATTTATGATCAAACGAATATGTAGGAATGCTTAATTGATGTGTTCTTTAGTTTAATACAGATTTATTTTTTATATAGAAGTTTTGTGCATAAAAGTGCACGAAGGATACGTGTAAGTACAGTTCAGAATTGTTCGGGAACACGAAAGTACACGTCACACGTATGATCACTGCATGAGCTTGAGCATTTTTAAGTTATTATTCGGCCGGGGCAAAAGTGTTTTTACCTTTGAAACCTGCCAATTCTCTACCACCAAGATTGTACGGTCTGTGAAAATGTATTTTTAATTAATTTATGAAACATAATATATAATATAAATAGTTTTTATTTATACTATATAATACAAAAATGTATTTTTAATTAATTTACGAGATATAACGTTATATAATATAAAAAGTTTTTGTTATATACAAATGAACAGAAAATATTTAAATTTATGTTCTATATATTTATTTTTCTTCCTATTAATTTTATTTCATTAATCGTTATAATTAATTAAACATTAAATGTAAGGAATTTTTTATCATATATATTATTTTAATGTTTTGCATATAAAGATCATATTTATTTATTGATTTATTCTAAAACAATTTTAGAGAACCAATCAAAACTGGATATCTTATGGCTAGACTCTGTTTAAAAGGTCTCTTGCATCCAGAAGTACAACCGCTCACTGAGCGTTCAGTGAGCTTTTTTTATCTGCAGATTGGCATATTCCATTAGATCTAAAAATATAAACCAAATAGGTACAAGAGCTCACTGAGCAGTCGTACTAGATGCACCCAATATAAATGATATGAGACATCCTTTTCCTCCTCAATACCAATATAAAATATTGTTGCTTATCGTTACCGGATGGAGTACATAAAAAAGGTACAAATAATTGAAAATATATAGGTATGTTATAAAACTGTTACAAAAAGTAAAGAACAAATACGGTTGTAAAAAATGTATATTATATACGACGTGTGTGTAATATATATATATATATCTGCGATACATGTATATAATAATGTATAAAATAAGAAAATATTAAATTGGAGAAATTGATATTGCTACTAGTGTCTATTACTACTAATTACTTCTAATTAAGCAACCAATATAGTAATCAGCAAGTAGAGCGATTCTATCATTCTCTTATTCATTATTTGCATTGCATATGAACTAAACGCTATTTGAGTCAACGTGATGCTACAAATGCTTTAAAGTGTTCTTTGATCAATCAATTAATAAAATTCTTTCTTATGATTCTTGTTTAGTCAATGAAATGTTCTAAAGCATTCAGTAGTAAGAGTTTGACTGCATCCTTAAATATAATAATATAAATTAATAAACACATTTATGAATTTCGTTGTATACTAATATAAAAAAACATATATCAAAACATACACGTTCTTTAAATATTGTAGATAATACAATAATCAAATAGTAATATAATATTTGATATACTTATTTATATCTTATAGAAGAACACTTGGTGAACACTATTATGGTTTATAAAAAAAAACTTATGTATCCTTGAATTATTTTAATACCTGTATTACTTTTTCCAATTTTTCAATCGAATAAATAATGCATATATATATATATATACACATACACAAATTTATTAAAGAATAATATATAAAATATTTTTAAGCACAATTTTGTAAAAAAATTATATCATATATATGTAATAATATTCAATTCAGTATCAATTAAAATTTTAATAATATAGTATTAGAATAATTCAATTATTAACAAATTCACAGTATTGTCAAAATTAGCCAAGTGTTCAATCTCTACTTTTGTATATATGGACGGAAAATTACGTTGTTTTTTATACTAGCATGTTACATCATTCTCATTTGTTATCAGTTATTATCAATTCTTAATCATTAGTAAAGTGTAGTATGTATATTAATATACATATTGTAGTATATAATGTTCATTAACATTAAATATATTTTTTACGAGTTAATTCTTTTACATCTTTCTATCAAAAATTTATAACTATCTATATTGCATTAGATCAAATGGCATTTATATATTTCGAGACATGCATATTTTGTTATCTTATTGTTAGATAGATTGTGTTTACAAAGCATCATAGCATAGCATAAACATTTATTATCAATGTGCTGTTATTTTTAACAAGTAGACTTATATAGTACAATTTGTACATTGTGAAGTGTGAATATGTTCACAAATTTTTTTATAAATTGCTGATTTAATAATCTGTGTAGAAATTTAAATCCCAAAACTCTATCTCTTTGAACTATTTTTAGAATATTATTCAACGTATATGTAATATATTCAAAATTATTTTGCTTATTTCAAAAATATACCATGGAATGAGGTAGAATATTATTATAAAGTTACAAGATACAGATTTTGTGGAAAAAAAAGACCGGACATTTAACATTTGAACTATGTATGAATTTTATAAGAATGACAATAAAAAAAGTATATACATATATGAATAAAAATAAATATATATAAATTTTGCGTATGTTATTTGCTACTTCGTATATATATGTATTTATACGTACATAATTAGCTGCATGATAAAAAAAGAATACTTGGTGAGTTTTAAAGTATTGTCATACATATTGTATATGCCGAAAGATATATATTATAACATATAGAGTATCTTTTTATCATGTAGAATAAAAATTATACTGAACTTACTGTATTATTTTTCGCAATATTTGGGTCAAATACAACAGATCGGTTTCAGTCTCCTTATAGTACATAATTATTAAAAAATAAGTTGCGGAACTACTCGAGTGCTATGTTGTTAAAATGGTAAGAACAAAAGCGACTACATCATTAAATCACACGACGTAGCAATATTAATTTTTAGTCCGTTAAAGATTAATCTAATAGATAATATTACTTCATTGGATAAAAAAGATCTTGTTAAGTCTCATTTAACATTTGTTTTTGTTAAATACTTTAGCTTTTCAGTTTAAGAGAACTGTACGAAATTATGATCATTAACCATTATAGAGCCTTCAATTACTAATTATTATATTATACTATACATAATCGTAGATTCGTAAAAGCAACAAGAAAACCATCCCCAGAGCGACGTCTAAGGTATTGTTTTCAGCGCTGCTCCTAAAGGCTTCAGTGTCACCCATTTGGAATGAATGAGTAGGACTTGACATTCGGCCGTCGCCACCGTTGCTGAATGCTAGCACTCTTAAACGATACCTCTTGCCTGGACTTAGATTGTTGATATAAGCCTCTAGCTTGGAACCACCTGGTACGATCGTGTCATTCGCCGTGCTCATGTCTTGATCGTATTCCCATACACGTATCTTATATCCAATCAACGGTTCTTCCTCCAGACTCGGTTGCACATAACGCCAGACAACTCTTATTGTTGATGGGTTTACACCATATACATTCACAGAGGATGGCGGTTTTTGCGGTGGTTTGCGATAAGTTCGCTCTAGGTACCGCTCACTCTCCGGACCTTCTCCGGCAGAGTTATAGGCCATTACCTTTAAGAAATTTATGATTTTCTCACTTAAGTTTTTACACAATTTATAAGTTTGTCAATATATTTTAAATTTTCTATCTGTTTACGTATTCTTTAAATAATATAACATGTAGTAAATATTTTAAACTATAAACACTTTGTAATTAAATTTTTTTAAGTACATTGTATTGTAAATTTATTAAGTATTCTTAGTAGTTCATGTAGAAATGTAAATAAAAGGCTTTGTATCTTTTTTAACTTTACCTTTACTTGATAATATGTATCTGGCTGCAATCCAACAACAAGTGCCCAAGGACGAGTAGTGCGTGACAAGTAATAAGTAGCATCCTCTTCGGGAATAGTATTCTTCCAGTATTTGATTCTGTGACCGATCAGTTTGCCTCGCACTCGCTCGCGAGTCTGCTGAATAGGCTGCCAAGTGACGTTCAAGCTGGTGCTGTTGTAACCCAGGGAGTGCACTAATTGCGGCGCAACCTGTGGTTTGTCCTCCGCGCTGTAGATTGTCTCAATATTAGATACAGGTCCCTCGCCCATTTCATTGATCGCTTGTAGTTTCACTTCGTATTCTGTATAGTAATATTGCTGTGGAATCGACACGACACTGCTACCAATATTGCCGTATTCCCTCAGGGATAACGATTGAAATTCTTTTTCATATCCTTTGCGACGCCAGAATATCCTGTAATGGACTCCAGGAGCATTCTGATCGGACGAACTGAGAGGATCCCATGTAATCGTGAGATCACCAATTTTTCCTCCGCCACCGCTAATATTCGACGGTGCTTTCATAGGTTTGTCGGACGGAGTGCTGTATTGAGGTGAGGGTAATGATGGCGGGCCGTAACCAAATTCATTGAAGGCATGCACACGGAATTCGTAAGTAGAATAAGGATTCAGAACATTCTCCAGATTTGCCTCTTTTCGACCGTTGTATCTGTCTACTTCAAAAGCCGTAATATCTAAAAGCAGTCATATACATGTTCACATAGGGTAAGACTACACAGAGAAAATAAATATTATATAATGAAGAAGCATCTAATATTCAATTTGATATTGCAAGCATATTAAAAGTATCATAATTAATAAGTACTCGTTATCGAAAACATTTCTATAAGAAATCATGACTCTGAAATACCAAACTTACTTTCTGCAAGAGAAAACCATGTTTGATTCCAATTTGTTCGCGCACCGATTGTATACATATTTATTGGTCTGCCATTCGTGGCACCGTCACTCCACCGTAATGTGGCTGAAGTTTTGACGATATTCACAACTTGTACTCCACCAGGTGGTCCCGGTGGTCCTTGCACGATCAGATTAAGCTTGCTCGTTATTACGCCAACGGCGCTTTTCAAGATGCATTCGTATTCACCGGCTTCAGCGAATGTGGCATTTATAATACTTAAATATCCGCCATCGATATTTAATCGCGGATTATTCCGCAAATCCCGATCACGGATACGCATACCATTATGCGTCCAGATATATGCTACATCCAACATTTCGTCGATATGACCCAAACAATGTAATGTCAGATTATAATTATAATACAGAACTATTTGTGATGGCAATCTTTGGACAAACTGTGGTCCACCTATATGTAAACAATTTTATATAATTATGTGTATGTAATAAATTAATTGTTAACTATATAGAAAAACCAAATTTTTACAATGACACATATTTAAATATAAATAACATAAACAATAAATTTACTTTATGATAACCGACAATTTACTACAACCTGTTAATATCTTTTTGCATAAATATATATCTTCTTGTGAATTTAGGAAAATATGAGTATTTTCTTGAATATCAAATAACTTACGTAGCACGATCAATCGTCCACGAGTTTCATCATTGCCATACTGATTTGTCGCTGTGCACACATATGTCCCTTCATCATCTCGTGATACTGGACTGATGATTAGATTTCCAGTTTCTAGAATTCTTCTCCTACCGCCTGATCCGATTATGTTTCCATCTTTCTTCCAAATAAATTTCGGCCTGGGTGCAGCTTCTGGATTGCACACAATAGTAACGTTACCTCCTTCCGCCGCATATGTCTCAGATTCCATAGGCCGTTTCTTGAAGGAAGGCTTTAATGCTAAAATATCAAAGAGATATTATACAATATCATATATACTTGCATAATAACGCAAAGATCTAATGATCCGTTATTTTTATCTTTGCACTGCACAGTTGAATATTGAAGAAGTAGAATATATACATATAAATAAATAAATATATATATGTATATACTCACACAAGACTCTAAGTTGAGCCGATGAATACGTCGTTTTCAGCTGATTCCTCGCGCGGCATTGATACATGCTCTGATCTCTTTCAGCATCCACATGGCGTATATTTAGTACATTATCTTGTATAGTATAACGATCTCTATCTTCAGGTGGTAGAGTATACATGTCCAACAGTTCTCCATTTTTAAACCAACTGTAAGTGACATCTGGTATGCCAAATGCTTCACAGGTCCAAGTTAAATCCGCATGATCATCTATGTGCTTATCAACCAAAGGAATGGTGAAATTAGGCATCGCCTGTATAGTCAATTGCACAGAATTTTCGATGGATAGTCTGTCGTTGTACACTCGACAAACATATTCGCCTTGATCCTCCACGCGCACACGAGGTAATATCAATACCCGATTGAAATTTGTGGTATATGCTCCACGTGGCAAAATAGCACCTCTTTTTGTCCAATTGTATGAAGGAACAGGGCTAGAAAAATTAATAATTTATTATATTCACAAATTCCATATGGAGAGATGAAACAAAAGGTTTTTTTCAACATATTTGCTTCAACAGGCTGCACCAATGATCTAAAATTGATAGATTTAAAAAAGTGACTTACATTACTATTGTTTTTATCCCTCCATATATAAGAAAAAACATATATATATATATATATATATATATATATATATGTAAAGGAAATATAAAATAAAGCATCAATAATAACTTACTATCCAAATGCAATGCATTCTAATCTAACAGTTTCTCCAGCTACTGGTGCTTCTGGAAATGCTTTTGGAAAATTATTTGGGAATTTCAACTGTTGGAAGGAAGCTGAAAAATTTAGAAAGTCATTATATTTGCTATGCCATCGATTTCTATTCTGTTAAATGCTTAAAATAAAACCCAAAGTAATTACAGTGCATGTCCACTTTCAATGGAAAGAATGGTCCATTACGTCCAATATCGAATGCAACATTCTGAACATAACATGCATAATTTGCTTGATCAATTGTTTCCAATGCAGAAAAGTAAAGTGCTCCATCATTTGAGACAAATACGCGTTTATCCTCCTCGACGAAATTGGGAAAGTCATTACGCATCCAATAGTATGATATATCTGGGAAATGCTGTGGTGGATCACAGTATATTACTTTACCCCAATGATTATCTCCGCGTTCTTCAGAACGTTTTAAATTAAACTCATTGACAAATCCGAATGTCAGTTCAGCGCTCTCAGAAATAATCTTGCCAAATTTGTTAGATGCTTTACAATGATACAAGCCAGAATCTATTTTCTATAAATAATAAAATCATTGACATTCATTTAACTTATATATTAATTAAAAACAAGTTTTAAAATAATATATATTTTTTTTAAAGAAACTAAAAGATCTTTACTGAGTCTGGATCATAGATGATAAGTGTTCCACCGCTCACAGTAAATTTCTTGTTTGTGAGAGGATCAATTTTTGTTGCAACAAGTCGATCGTTTACATACGTCTCCTTGAACCATTCGTAAGTAGGTGTAGGATAACCACCTGCCAAACAACTTAGTGAGACATCATTTCTCACGCTTCTCTTTGACAGATCAAATACTTTGTTCATGGGCTGCTTTATAAAATATGGCCCCCTTGGTATTTGGAGAGGATTGTCAATGTCAATTCCATATTGATAAGTACGCTCCTCTTCTACCAAGTTGTGAAGTGTGGCAATAGGTGCTTCACAAATATATAACAATTCTTCTCTGCCAGTAACCTTCTCCAGTCCCCAACGCTGGAGACTATTGGAATAAGCATACGCTAAATAATCTCTTCCAAATATATTGTCCACAGGCTCAGGTAGAAAGGCATTATCCATGTTCAACAATGTCGTACTGTCTGCCTCATTTATCCATATACCACTCTGGAGTCTGATCCCAGTGTACCATCTACGATGTTGCGGATCTTGCCACAACAACTGGTAGAGCACGAACCCATGCTCTTCCATCGTATTAATGGTAAGCAGATCACTTTGGAATGCTTGGCAATTTTTCCGCGCATCTTCCCGTGGTCTCAGTGGGCTCTTGACAAAACGATAGCACGACTCTTGGAATCGTATCCAGTGCTGGGGACACTTGTACTCTTCTCCATACAGAATATTTTGTGCAAACGCGGGAAGTAAGAGGATTAGCGAGAACACCGCGGTGGTTAATAAAGGAGACATCATCGCGGACATCTTGTAATTATACAACAGACATTTTATAATTTTCAGATTCAATAGATTGGAGTATTTTATTAATCCTCGATCGAGACAATATCACAACATTGAAACGTAACTTCAGGAAATTCAACAGGACTGATAATCTCTTGAAGACACTCCCTGAAGATGAGAACACCTTGTTAATTCATGACATTCTTGTATGCATGTTTCGACACACGACAATTCGATCGAAGCATTCGCCGCAAACGTGGATACCGACTCACTTAAATGTACTAGATCTTATATATGACGAATAAGGTTTTCGACGAGAGATAAAAAAAATTAAAAAATACGTTAAATAAAACCACAAACTTTAAGTTAACAGCGACGCTAGTGACGCTACATCGCTAGCTAGACACTCCCTGTGACGAATGACGAACGGTTACGGAATTCAACGAATGTTGACGAATATTTAATTTTCGTAATTACACCTTGTACACTTTTTCCACGCGAAGTGCAGAAATATGCGTGTTGCATGAATTCCCCATTCTCTTCTTTTCTTTTTCTTTTTTTGTTCAAATAAGAAAAAAATACTGTTAAGCGGGGAGCACAGACTTTTGCATAACGCATAAACCATATACATAAAGAATTTGATTGGTCCATTGACTCATGCATAAGAAAATGGGCCAATGAAATTCCTTATGCACATGCTTTATGCGTTATGCAAAAGTCTGTGCTCCCCGCTTAATCCTTCTTGTCCTCTCACTTCACGGTAGAGAAGCATTTTGATTGGTTGATTCTCTTATGCGTCATGCATTATCTTTGTTATATGTTCAGTGTATCTACGGCTATGTTCAGATTCCCACCCGAGTGCCACTCAGGTATCCTTCTATCCTTATTGTTTGCCAAATGTTAAACAAGAATGACATGACACCCAGGGAGCACTCGGGTGGGAATCTGAACACGCTGTATGATGGTGACTCGCAGAACCTCTTGAATACTCATCTTAACCTCAAATCTTAAAGTAGAAAATTAAAGCAGAAATAGTCTATTTGTTTCGTATATTTGTGTATAAAGTAAGTGAATAAAATGCCGGAAAGCATCAAAACGGAAACAAAACCTGTTAAAGAAGTGAAGAATGGCAAAGAAGACGATAAAAATGAACTGGTAAGAAATTAACCTGCCTCAGATACTGTTGTATTGTTATCGAACAGCGACAATCTACATTTGTAATTCCTACGTCAATATATAAATAGAATTATTAATTCAACATTTCTTATAATTTTAACTAAGTTATCTTTGTCTTATAATAACTTATTAAATAGTTCGCTATCCTTGCAATTTCTTTTGGTTTTTTTTTTTTAATAATGATTTCTCCTTATAAATGTGTATTTCTTAAAACGTACTCATATTTTCTTATATTTTAATTGTATATTTTAATATACAACCTAATATATTTAGTAAAAGATGTATTAATATATATAATATAAAATAAAAACTTGACTTTGTCTTCTAGTCAGAAGAAGATAAGCTTCTGCATGAAGAATTAACTTTGCTCGTGGAGCGTTTGCAAGATGCTAACACCAAACTACATTGTCCTGCCTTAGAATCCTTACGTTCACATATTCGTGCATCAACAACATCAATGACAAGTGTTCCAAAGCCATTGAAATTTATGCGACCTCACTATGATACTATGAAAAACATACATGAAAAAATGACCAATGTTAAAAATAAGGAATTGTGTTCAGATGTTATTTCCGTTCTGGCAATGACAATGGGCGAGGGCCGGGAGTGTTTAAAATATAGGCTGACAGGTTCAGCATTGGCAATAGGTGAATGGGGACATGAATATGTTAGACATTTGTCAGGAGAACTAGCAGGAGAATGGGACGAGGTAACAGGTGATAATGTTGAAGCAACAAACAAGAAGCTTATTGCGTTGGTGCATGAGATTGTACCCTACAACATGGCACATAATGCAGAAACAGAAGCATGCGATCTCCTAATGGAGATTGAGAGATTGGACTTGCTGGAACAGTATGTTGATGAAAGTGCTTATCAGCGAGTATGCCTTTATCTTACGAGTTGCGTATCATATGTAGCTGATCCAGAGAACAGCACCCTTCTACATGTCGCCTGCAAGTTGTATCGTAAATTTGGCCAATATCCGCAAGCAATTAGGCTAGCGATGCAACTGAATGATTTGCCACTCATCGAATCGATTTTCACAAACTGTCGAGATCTGTGAGTATAATCACTTTTTGTTTAGATATTTAACCCTTCGTATGCAGTTTAGTTTTAGAGTAAGCAAAATTTCACTCTCAAATTTGACTCTTGTTTTTGCTCAAATTTCAATTTTTATTAAATAAAGATTTTAACGATTGAGTTAAAAATTATTTGATAATGTAATAGAGATATTGAAAAATTTGAAAAGTAATTCTGAATTTTTTTGAAAGTTTAAAACAAAAAAACTTGAGCTGGACAAAAAAAGATCCAAATTGCAAACGGAGAGTTAATAATTTAGTTTTTTTTACTCAAAATTTAATTTAAGTTTAATTGATATTTTCCAAGCAGAAGGTTCAAATCTTCACGTTAATTTTTTTAGTTCTGTACAAAAGCAACTAGCTTTTATGCTAGGTCGTCAGCAAATCTTCCTGGAACTACACGAAGCTACGATAGAAGACGATGATCTCTTCGAGATAATGTCTAACTCTCATTTGAATAATCATTTCTTGAACTTGGCACGTGAATTAGATATAATGGAACCAAAAACACCTGAAGATGTCTATAAATCTCACTTGGAGAACTCGCGACCACCATTTGGTGGCGGCCAAGTTGATTCAGCACGGCAGAATCTTGCAGCAAGCTTTGTCAACGGTTTTGTAAATGCTGCGTTTGGCCATGATAAGCTGCTAATTGAGGACGGTAACAAATGGCTATACAAAAACAAGGAGCACGGAATGCTAAGTGCAACCGCATCTCTAGGCTTGATCCTACTATGGGACGTTGATGGCGGCCTGACACCGATTGATAAATATTTGTATTCGTCGGAAGATTATATCAAATCTGGTGCACTGTTGGCCTGTGGAATTGTCAATTGTGGCGTCAGGAACGAGTGCGATCCTGCCTTGGCTTTACTTTCCGACTACGTATTGCACAGTAGCAACACTATGCGCATCGGTGCTATTGTCGGTCTCGGTATTGCGTACGCCGGCTCCAACAGAGAAGGTGTGCTAGGTTTGCTGACACCGGTTCTCAGTGACACCAAGTCGAGCTGGGAAGTTTTGGGTATGACTGGTTTAGCATTAGGAATGGTTGCTGCCGGTTCTTGCAATGCTTATGTTACTACGGCGATTATGCACACGTTAATGGATAAGTCGGAATCTGATCTCAAAGATACATATGCGCGATTTTTAGCACTTGGTTTGGGATTGTGTTTCCTAGGCAAACAGGAAGCGGCAGAAGCAATTATAGCAGCTTTAGAGATCGTTCATGAACCATTCAGGTCGATGTCGACAACATTGGTGGAGGTGTGTGCATATGCTGGCACAGGAAATGTCCTCAAGATCCAACACTTGTTGCACATTTGCTCGGAGCACTATGAATCGAGCAACGAAAAGGAGGAAAAAAGCGAACGTAAAGACAAGGACAAGAAAGAGGAAAAGAAGGAAGAGAAAGAGAAAGATCTCAGTTCCAGACAAGCTATCGCTGTTCTTGGCATCGCCCTGATCGCCATGGGAGAGGAGATTGGTGCAGAGATGGCTTACAGAACATTTGGCCACTTGTTGCGTTATTGCGAGCCTGTGATTCGCCGTTCGGTACCGCTTGCCCTGGGTCTTATATCTGTATCGAATCCAAAATTAAACATCTTGGATACGCTGTCAAAATTCTCGCACGACAGTGATCCTGAGGTAGCGCACAACGCAATATTCGCCATGGGACTGGTCGGCGCTGGCACGAATAATGCGCGATTAGCCGCCATGCTAAGACAGCTGGCTCAGTTTCACGCGAAGGATCCCAACAATCTTTTCATGGTGCGCATCGCACAAGGCTTGACGCATCTAGGGAAGGGCACGCTCACTCTGTCGCCTTATCATAGTGACAGACAACTGCTCAGCCCTGTTGCTCTAGCCGGTCTTTTGTCGACGTTGATCGGTTTCCTGGACGTAAAAAATAGTGAGTATATATTCTTGATGCAACAGATGCAAAGATACGTTCTTCGATAACCGTATTTCACTACTAGCGACCAGATAAGCTACTCTTATCATGAAGATATAACAAGTTTGATAATCATTTTCCAGAGACCTTATAACAAAGAAGGGTCTTAAATATTTTCTTGTATCTCTACGATTGATCAATCAGTAATTCTTTAAATTCTTACAGATTTTCATATTAAAAACTATAATATCAGGGATACGACTTACTATTATTAATGTTATAATATATACTTTCAGTTATTCTCGGACGTTCACATTATCTCTTATATACGCTGGCTGCTGCAATGCAACCCAGAATGCTGGTAACATTCGATGAGGATTTGAATCCACTGGCTGTACCAGTGAGAGTCGGACTTGCCGTCGATGTTGTCGGCCAAGCGGGTAAACCGAAGACTATCACAGGCTTCCAAACACACACCACTCCGGTGTTGTTGGCATATGGTGAGAGAGCGGAGCTTGCAACCGAGGAGTATATACCACTGACACCAATTATGGAAGGTTTTGTAATCTTAAGAAAGAATCCAGACTTTATACCTTAGTCGTAATAATTTTGTCGATCATCAATGTACCTCGTACTGAACTACTTATAAGGCAGAATAATATAATAAAAATATCTCACACTTCATTTTACGTTACAAATATAACGCAGTATTCTCCACATAATTCTTGGAATGTAATTTTCTTACGGACTCTCTTCTTAACAAAACGACATGATGTAGTTCTAAGGAACAGGCTAGTGAGAGTCAACTTGGTTAATAGTAAGTTATAATCCTTTTATTCGTTTAGTGTAACAATTTGAATGTTTTGACTCTTTGGAGTCATCCTCAGCATATAATACTGCAATTCTCCTTCATATGATTGAGAGAATGTCACCATCAGATTTGATGTACAATCTAATTAAAATGTTAATTAAGATCTTAGTCATTTAACTAAAATTATTTTGGAAAAATGGTGACTTACCTCAAACATAAAAAAAAATCATATTGTAAAATAATGTATCAAAATTCACATCTTATATATGATAAAATCAGTTGTAATAATAATATATTTGATCATTTCACTTTAACGTTTAAGAATTAACTGATTTCAAACATTATTTTTGACCATCTTCGTCCAGTATTGAGACATTCTCCCAATTAAAGTCATCAAATTTTAATCGATGTTCAGTTATGACAGAATGAGCTCGTATTCCGATTAATGTGGTTACGATGCTTAAAAATTCTAATTTTTAGTTTCCTGCCTGTTTGTCCAACGTATACACTATATTTTTCTTTTTGTCTCGTGGGAGGACGTCTTTCTGTACTTTTATCAAGTTGTTTAATTTATTCACATTAGTAAACGTAATTTTTGCTGTAACGTTATTAATTCTTCTGAATTCATCAGAGATTCCTGAGATGTAAGGAAGAACAAACCACGAATTCTGAGATAAATTATTGTCTTTTACAGTTGTTTGTTACTTTTGTGAATCAACGTTTTAATTCTAGTATTAATATAGTTTTAAATATAAGATCTATGGGATAGTCATTTTTTTATTAAAGATTGACGATATGAATAAAGTTTTTTTGATGGTATTTTGAATCGGATAACATAAATGCTTTATCCGTTAAACTAACAATGATGCCTCTTTTGCGATAAAGGATGTACGGATAAATTATTAAGGGGGGTACTCCCAGAGGACGTGGGCTTATAATACCAATCAAATTCAATATTCTTGTCATTATTAATAATAATCGTAGTATCCAGAAAATTAATTCTACTGTTACTGATTTCCAGTGTAAATTCTATCATACAGAGAATAAAAAGCGTCAAAGGTAGATTCAACCTGATTTGACGGAATCGCCATAACAGTGTCATCGACATATCTGAAATAAAATAAAGGTTGGAATTCTAATTTCTCCAACGCTTTCAATTCCAAATCCCTCATCACCAAATCCGCTACTATTAGAGAGAAGCCCATAGGAGTTTCGAAATTTTGTCTATAGAAATTTCCATCAAAGCAAAAATAAGTCGAATTCAGAACCAATTTAACAGCTAATATAAATTCACCTCTTGGTATGTTCAATTTATCTTTAATAAAATTCCATTTTATTAAACGCGTCCCATAATATTTTTGTTACGTTGTGCAGAAAGGGATATAAGGCAATAATATATTTTCTATTTAATAGTAAAATGCATAGACTTTAATGTAAAAAATACTGGTATAATGTCTCTCTGGTAAAATCTCGTACGATACGAATTTTGTACGCTTTATACATCGTAAAAAAGAATATAAAACAACAGTATTTTATACTGCATTCTTAGCAATAACAGTACATCGGTGGACGTTCTTTTTCTATAAATACCAGTCAGGATGGACTCAAGTCTCACGTAAGTCATCATTGCCATTGTTGGCATAATTTAAGTCTGCATAACTTGTTGAATACAATGCGCGATAAATTTTGCTGAATATTACTTGCTGAATATCACCCGCGGATAAATTTTCTCTAAAATAGAAGCATTTGTATACATTGTAACAGTGATACATGTATAGTGTGTTAGAGTATTAATTTGATGACTCGGTTGTTATCGAGTATTGAGTTCAATTTGCTGTCTGGTGGAGCAGCCAGTTATGCAGACTTTTAATACAAATTATGGTATATCCTAGTATTTTCTATATTTTGCCATTATCTTTTTAACTAAAAAAGTGTAGTCTACCACGATCATGTTAGTTTGTTAAAATATACGTATCGCAATATACGTTATGCGCATAAACGAAAGTGTGTGTGGGTGTGTGTCAAGAAAATACATCAATCGTAAAACTTTAAATAATACTTTTATAAAAAAAAAAGCTTATACTACAGCTATATTATAATAATGTAGCTTTCTCATCGCAATTGCATAATTTACGTTTAACGTCTCTGTATAACGATACAACGAATGTTTACGACATTTTCATTTAATATGTTTAATATTGGCATCACATTAATACGGGCGCAACTGGAATTTATATACTCTCTTAAGGACATATTCCAAATTTCTCTCACTTTTGTTTCAATATTTTCATTGGGATGACTTTTTAAATAAATTAATAAAATTGAGATGTCACTGTATAAGAAAAATGCTTAAATATAATCGCATTGGAATAAAAAATAGAGATACAATAGAAAGTAACAATAAAAATGGTACTATAGATTCTCTATGTACATATTTTTAAAATTATTTTGCACAATTTGTAAAGTTTTATTGTTTTGGCATTGTCATTTGTGTAAATTATAATAAGTACGCTATATAAATCTATCAAAAAAAAAAAGAAAGAAAAGGATGACGTTTCTAAGAGTAAGTCATGGAACTTAGAGACCCTTTCTAATAAGAATTTGGACACGAGCCGTAGTTTTATATACAGGGTAATACTTTTAACAAAATTGATGAGAGGGAAAGACATTACTATTTCTTTCTCTTTATACTGTCATTTTCTTCTCTCTCTCTTTCTCTC